TTTCTCCTTAATACGTATGTGATGTATATAGATAAATATATAATTTCTATAACATGTCCAATGCCGTTGATGGTGATAATCATGTAAGCAAGTGCCTTGACAAATCCGTAATAAAGTAGCAGCATTGGGCTAAACAATGCAACTACGTAAGGAAACCCATCTAAGGGTTTCTTCCCGTAAATCTTGTAAAATGGTGGTCTGATCACGTATATACAGATCATTAGATATAACCCACACATATATATATATATATATATGATAAATATGATATGAATATTATATATATATAGGTTAGTACGGAAGGAAAATGCTCTTCACACTGGGGCCGAGAACACCATGAATGACACAATATTGCCTGTGCAAAACAAGAAATTAGCAATCCAGAGAAATTAATATATATAGATTAAGAAAACAAAATTATCCAAGAAAAAATATGAAGCTCTGTAGTTTGTACCCAAGAGACCAAATACAAAAGCCAGTTGATTAAGCGTCAAGGTTTCTGGGCATATTTCTAGTTAATTACCAGCTTAATTTCATTCTTCCCAGTTGGTTCATTTATACAGGAGTGGCAGCTGGGAAGATGAGTTAGGGAACATTTCTTATTGGACATACCTTGAAACTTTTCAAGACCCAAATTAAGGAACCCAACACAATAAAACCTAAAGCTTAGCCGTTTTAATCTATTACCACAAAATAATATCCAAACCCAGCAAAAAAAACCAGAGGAAGAGCCCGACCCATCTTCTTCAAACATCCAAACGACATCGTTTTAATACAACCGCAGAAAACGACATCGTTTTTATTATTGTTACCCTATAAATACCCAACACTTCGTCTTCCCCGCGCCACTTCATCCTCTGCGTAATATCATCCGATTTTCTCGACTCTCTGCCGCTTCCATTCTCATCTTTTCATACCTTTTGCGCCAGTAATATCCTCCGAGAATCTGTTAAAACAAAAATGAGGAAGAAAAATCTGTAAGTGATTTCATCCCTTTGGAGTTCTTTTTCCAGTTATTGTTTTCTTGGAGTCGAAGGAGAACAGCGGAGGAGAATGTCTTCTTCAATTTCTCTTCTTTCACGTTCTGCAACATTCTCACCTCTGAAACGGGGTCGTGGGACTCACCAGAGAGTCCGACCCAGTTTAAGTCTCGGACCAAGAATCGGTCACGGCTTGGCTTTCTTCTTCTCTGCCGATAACCAGGCTCTCGGCAGCCCGGGTCAATTTCTCCCAGTTGACCAAGAACGAGAGAGAATCACCGATCAAGATTTCTGATTTCGACCGGCCTTCGGAAGGATTCAATCTGAAATCCGGGAATTTCGCCAGTTTTTGTAGTCGAACGATATGGGAATCTTGATTCTGTTCTTGAGTAGCTCGAGGTTGGAGAATCCGAAAGACATGATTCTCGCTGTTGATATTTACGTCTCTCCTTTTCTAAGGAGACCATGGACGTGGGGTTTCATACAAGGTTCCTTGCCTTACGATTTTTTCTTCTCCCTTCTGCGATTTATTTTCTTAAGAAGAAACATTGAGTCTTTCTTTCATGAGAAGAAGATTAGTTTTATTTAATTTGATTTAACGTTTATAACGTCTTTTTCCTGCAAGAACTTCCAAAGAGTTCTTGATTTTCTATTCCTTTATGATTTATGCCCTAAAGTAGTAATAGTTTCAAGCTTCCGATTGCCCTAATATCTAATCTGTTATGCCTTTATCTTTACAGCAGCTCTGGTTCATTCTTCATATCTGACTCCTCCCAACCTGCCGCCGTTAAAAGACTAATCAGAGAAAGAACACTGAGGCAGCGGCCGTTGGCAACCAAGGCTGTAAAGCCCACCATTACTGTGAGTATTATCATCTCACTCCCGAGTGTATGTTCGTTTGTATCGTAAGACAGTTTTCAATTTACAATTTCCATTTTTGCTTAAGGTTATTGGGTCTAGTTTAGCATTAAAATAATCATATTTTAATTGCCCCATCCAGGACAAAACTCCATCAGTTAGTGTTCTTGATCGAAAAATGAAATGTCAAATGATTAGAGAATCTCGGGACTATTCTTTCCTGTTCGGCCCGGATTCTGAACTTCCTGCACCACCTGCAAAAAGGCCTAAACTTGGTAAAGTTCGCTGCCAATTCAGTTAATTTGTGACTCTTTATATATAAGAATGCATCTGCTTTACTGTTCTTACGGTTTGTTCTCTAACAGCTTAAAATACTTTCTTTTTGATACTTCATTCAGGTGATAATTTGTCTAAACAAGTACATACAAGCATTGAGCCCAAGTACATACACGCCATAAAAGATTCTGGTGTACACGATACTTTCAAGAAGAACTCAGCACCAAAGAATCAACCACCGTCGTTGAAAGATCTTCATGGCTCTCACAGGCACAAACCATCCATCCAAAGGCCAGCAGTTGCAAATAAGAATTTGGGACAAGAAGAATTTTATGGTGAATCGAATAAATCGAAAGCAATGGAAAATCAGTTGCAACAAGCAGTTGCAAATAAGAATTTTGGACAAGAAGAAGTTTATGCTGAATTGAATAAACTGAAAGCAGTGCAAAATCAATTGCAGTCATCTTCAAGACACCATGCTCCAGATGAAAAGAAAGCTTCTTTGTCATACTCACAACCTGGAGCGGAGCCTCAACTGGAGCAGCCGAAAAAGCCTCTGATAATCAGGATTAAGTTGTGTCCAAATCATCAAATTCTAAGTCGGTCTGGAGCACTTGGGCCAGAATTGCAGCAGCCTCCAACAGGGCAACGCATGGGCAAGCCGAAGATTATTAAAAGACAAGAGGTTAAGGTCAGCTCTTTATATCTCAAGTTTGAACATATAAATACACACAGACAAAAGAAATCAGTGGTAATTTGGCTTAAGTTGCATTCGATCAATTCATTCCAAAGCATTTTTGCAAAAATTGCAGCCTACAACAGGGCATGGCGTGGGAAAACCGAAACTTATTCAAAGACATGAGGTGAAACGCTTTTGTTCTCAAGTATAAGCATGTCATTGCACGTAGACAAATGAAATCATCGGCAATCAGGCTTCAGTTGCGTCCTAATCAATTCATTCTAAAGCACGTTTGAAAAATTGCAGGCTCCAACAAGGCAAGGCATGGGGAAGCCGAAGCTTATTCAAAGACATGCGGTAAAACTCTTTAGTTGTCTGGTATAAGCATGTAATTGCACGTAGATAAAAGAAAGCATCGGCAATCAGACTTCAGCTGCATTTCAATCAATTCTTTCTGAAGCAACTTTGAAAAATTGCAGGCTCCAACAGGGCAAGATATTGGGAAGCCGAAGCTTATTCAAGGACATGAGGTGAAATTCTTTATTTCTCAAGTATAAGCATGTAATTGGACATACAGAAAAGAAATCATCGGCAATCAAACTTAAGCTGTGTCTCCATCAGTTCATTCTGAAACACCTTTGAAAAATTGCAGGCTTCAACAGGGCATGACATGGGGAAGCTGAAGCTTATTCAAAGACATGAGGTGAAACTCTTTGTTTTTCAAGTATTAAGCATGTAATTGCACATAGACAAAAGAAATCATCGGCAATCAAACTTTAACTGCGTCCCAATCTATTTATTCTGAAGCACGTTTGCAAAAATTGCAGTCTCCTATAGGGCATGGTTTGGGGAAGCCGAAACTTATTCAAATACATGAGGTAGAACTCTTTATCTCTCAAGTATACGCGCATAATTGTATATAGACAAAATAAATCTCTTGTAATTGGATTTAAGTTGTGAGAATATATTCACTTTGAAGCACTTTTTTAAAATTGCAGCCTCCTACACAGCATGGCATGGGGAAGCCCAAGCTTATTCAAAGACATGAGGTGAAGCTCTCTATCTCTCGATGATAAGGATGTAAATGCACATAGTCCAAAGAAAAAAAAAACTAAATTCTGACTGTCTGGCTTAAGTTGTTTCCCCATCATTGGATTCATTCTAAAGCACATTTGCAGAATTTGCAGCCTCCAACCGGAAAACGCATGGGAAAGCCGATAATTGTTCAAAAACATGAGGTAAACCTATCTCTCTCTCTTTTTTCAGTAGAAACATGTAAATGCACACTTGCACAATCTTTCATTTCCTATTCCATTTTGCGTAGAGTGAAATTTTGGAACTTGAATATTTTCTGAGTTGTTTTCATTTATGGTGGGTGCCAGCTTAAACGTTCTAGGCCTTCAATTGTTGATGAAGAGTATATCGAGTCTCAAATGAACTCAATTCTCCAAAAAATAGTTAGGTAAGACCTTTTGATTTTCATATTATCCATTTTTCTATTTTACATGGATAAATGCTATTTTCCTATAATATTTGATTCAAGAAACACATGTTTTCATGGTTGAATTACTATGATTTGTATCAGAAATAGCTATATGAAAGCTGGTTACAACGATGGGGATATCGAATGAATGGTCTCCAATTTTGAAGATATCCAGAAGGAGAGGAGAAGATATGGTAGCTTGCTTAATTCCAACTGTTTTATGTTTTTTGTTTGCATTTGCTGTGATGTTTAATCTCATAAATTGATGAATGCTTTGTATTTACACTGCAAAATTTGGCAGGAATGAGGATAAATTTGAGAGATTTTGAATTGAAGAAGAATTCTCTGAGAAATTTTGCAGCAGTGAAGACTCCCCCCCCATATAAAAAAATAGAGAGAGAAAAAAGAAAAGAGAGATTATGAAAAGAAAAGAAAGTAAAAATTGTTAAAAAATAAAATAAAATAAAAATAAGAGTATGGGTGTATTTGAAATTTGGAAATTGAGGTATTTATATACTTCTCTGGATATAATGAAATTTTTTACTGTCTTTGAACATGAAAGAAAAACTAATCTGTAAACATAATGCTATAACAAAGAAAATGTTCTTAAAATAAAATATTGTGCACTCTTTGAATTAGAAAATATTATTATTCATAGTATAATTTTTGAAAATCAAGATTTGCAAGCAATATATATGTACATTTATAATATTAATTTTGGAAGGTTGTAAAATTTTAATGTTAATATTATAACTGTAATTAAGTCAATTTAAATTTTTATTTAAATAATATAAATAAAAATTAAAATATACCAATTACACTTATAAGATTATAAATAGTTATTTTTAATATATTAAGAGTTTATAAAGTACATCTTTATCGAACTTGTATATAAACTAATACAATTTATGAGATAATAATACCCGAACAACTTATTTATAAAAGAATTACATCAAAAAAATAAATACAACTAATCCATACTTGCAAATCTGCATATGAACTGATACATCCATAACTATTACTCTGTTTCCTCCCTCTACATACTTCCCTTTCTCAAATACTTATAATAACTTATTTTTTAAAATTCACCCACAAATATTTTTTATAAAAAAATATTTCCTATAATATAATAAAGAAGTCCTTGTGATTTAATAATTCAGACATTGTTTTTATTTAAGTTGCTGCAATTGCAGATTTTTTTGTCTCCATCTACTTTGTTCTTGATTAATATCATAGAAGTAGACAGAATTTAGTCATTCTCCCTCAATTTTGTATCAGCATTCTTGTTTGCATCCTTATATAGCATGTATAAGTATCATATGAGAAACTCCGAATATGAATTCCAGCATATTTGGCAGTTGAAAACACTATAAATGTTTATATATACAGATACATATATATATACAGATACATATATTTATGTAGGTAATTGTAGGAAGGTATAGCACTCACGCAATGAAATAGTCTTTAACAAAAAGTTCATAAAAGAACCAGATTATAGCACAGAGAGTTAGGAATATAGATAAAAAGAAAGACACGTATTCAACACTCTCGATCCATTTGCAATATTAACAACATATTTTATAATTAATTCATATAAATAACTATTGAATAATTTTAGTAACATAAGACCAAAAACTTCAATATTAAAAAAGGAGCATCATCTTCATCGTAGCAATCTGAAAATGTAAAATTTTGATGATATATATATATAATAATAATAATATAAAATGATAACATATTTATATATTAAAGTAATTGAATCTTTGTTACCATTTTCTCTCTGAATGCATATGTGATGTATATAGATAAATACACAATTTTATAACACATCCAATACTATTGATGGTGATAATCATGAAAGCATGTGCTTTGACAGAGCCGTAGTAAAATAACAGCATTGCACTAGATTTTTTTTTTCCTTTTTCCTCTTTTCACGTCTAGGGCGTAATTAAAAACAACAAATTTCATAATCAAATCAGTCATGTACATAAAAACGCTATCACGATCTTATATTCAAGGTCAAGATAAACCTACAATCATGCACGAGACATTACATACAATACAACCGTACTCACTGTCTATACTACCATCAACTTTTACACACTCAATTCTGTCAAAAGAAAAGAAAATCTTTATTCTGTTGCCCTATACACTAGGTTCGGACGCCAGCAACTTCGATCCGGACGCCGTTCCTACATCATTTGTAAAGAATAAAAAGTGAGTCCATATAACTCAGTACAGTAAGAATCAAATTACAGGTATGAGATACAACAATATAAAATCCCATACTTCTACCAATATTTCATTACTTAACCCAAGCCCCCCCCCTTACTATCACTATGAGGCTACTCAGGGCTAAAGTTCACCCCGGTATCCCAACGATCATACCTATCCAGGGTTACCGTCCCCCAACGCCACCCCAGGCGTGCCAACATTGTCACCCACCACCAAAATCGGTGACCACCGTCCGCCTCTCGACCCCTACCAGGCCACGCACGCACACCATTATCATTCACTCTCGTCACCAACATCGGCGACCATCATCCAACTACTGACCCCTAACGGGCCACACACACGCACACTGATCATTCTCTCCCATCACCAACATCGGCGACCATTAGCTACTTCTCGACCACTAATGGGCCACATACGCACACAGTTATCATTTTCTCCCGTCACCAACATCGGCGACCATTAGTCACCTCTCGACCACTAATGGGCCACACAGTCACCATTCTCTCCCGTCGGGATTTCCCTCTATAGTGTATCCAGTAATATTTAACCTGCGCACAACTGCAAATTCTCCTTGACGACCACCTATGTGTAATTTCCCACCATGCACGCTCCACAAGTCTCCCTTTCCTACTCTCAAATTTCCCAGCATACCTCTACTCCCAACCCCGTTTTCCTTTCTTATGCTTGCATTAATCCCAACCTCCCACTGCTCCTCGTTTCCCCCTCTACCTACAATATACTCCAAGTGTTCCCACTCACACCGCGTTCTGTTTTCTCTCTCCTTCTGCGGTCTCCTACAGACACGCCCGCATAAATCTGCTCTCCCCCACCAGTCTCAACAACCACACTCCTCCCCCTCACAGACCCCACTCACATTGCCTTCCCTCTCCGTCACAGACTCCACTCATGCTCCCTACTCCTTCTCTCTCTCCCCCTTGGTGCTCACCCAGTCCTACTCTCTCCCAAAGCTCCAGCAATCACACTCCTCTCCCTCACGAACCTCACTCACACTACACACTCACTCCATTACCAACTTCACTCACTCCACCCACTATTTCTCTCTCATCCCTCGGTGTTTTCTGTACTTACTCTCGCTCACAAGGCCCTAAACAAACACACTCCACTCCTTCATAGACCTCACTCACGCCGCGAATCCTTCTCTCTCCCGGCCTTCACTCGTTCCGCCTCCATACCTCTCTCTTGGACTTCACTCTCACCGCCATCAAATCTTTCTCTCTCCTTCCGCAATGCTCACACGGGCCAGCTCCCTCTCACACACCTCACTCACACCACAAATCTTTCTCTCTCCAGACCTCCACTCACTTCGCACCCTTACCTCTCTCTCGGACCTCACTCGCACCGCCATCCTCATTCTCTCTCCTCCCGCGGCACTCACGCGGACCTACTTCCTTCCACATACCTCACTCACCACACACACACATCCTCCGTACACCGCCACCTCCATAAGTATACACAAATACACACTACACCTCTAAATCTCTCATCCGCATTTCAAATCCTAAATCAACACATGAAATTGAATCTTTACCGTATCTCCCATTTCCATCTTCCTTCATCCTGCCGATCGCGCTATCATCGTCTGCGGTCTCCTTTTCTCTCCTGTCTCGCTCCTCTCCACTCTACTTCCTTTCTCTCTCTTTCTGGAACCTTCCTTCCTATCTTCTTTCTCCTTCCCGCTCTCTTCTTTCTCTATTTTTCTCTTTTCCTTTTTTTTTTCTTTCTTCTCCTTTTCTTTCCTTCCCCATCCCCTATTTATATCCCACCAGTTTCCTCAAAACGACATCGTTTTTTCCCTTTCAAAACGATGTCTTTTTTCCCCTCTTCAAAATGACGTCGTTTTCCCCTCTTCAAAACAGCGTCGTTCCCCCCCTCCCTGTAACACCCAAACCTTTTATTATTATTTTTTTATTGGAATTATTTTTGTTTTATTTCATTTTAATAATTAATTTATTTTGTAATAATTATATGTTTTAATTTAATTTAATAGAAATAGAAATAATAATAAAAGGTAAAATGGGGTAAAATTATTTTTGAGAATTAATCGAAAATGATTTTGAAAAAAAAGTGGTGAAAATTTGGATTCTGGGGGTGTTTTTGAAAAGAAAATCGAAAATTGGGGGTCAAAATGTAATTTAGAAAAAATAGCGCCACGTCAGCAGCCCTGGCCAACCAGGACACGCCGCGTGGTAGGGACGCTGATGCGGGGAGCCACGCGAGACGGAGCCACATGGGCGATCTGCGTGCGCGCGATCGGACGGCCGAGCTCCGTTCCCGCGCGTACAGATGGCCCAGATTAAAAGTGTGTGCGGATGGCCCAGATCGCATCGTGATGGACGGCTCAGATTTATTCCCAATTTAATCGCGATCGGACGGCCCAGATTAAATCATGATGGACGGCTCAGATTAAAAAGAGAAGGTTATAAATAATCTCACTCACACCAAACCCCAAACCCTAGCCGCTAGAGCCCTCGCCAGAGAAGACGACCCAGCCACCGGAGGAACCGGCTGCTGCCACCTGCCGCCGCACCGGAGCACTTTTCGGCCGTCAAACAAGGTAAAATTTCTTCCCTTAGCTCGGTTTTCGATGCTGAATCCACCTGTGGCCAAATTGGAGCCAAACCACAGGCTAATTGGCCGAAAAATACCGCCAAAGCCCAGCGGCGCCGCTTCGAGTTTCCTCAGTTTTTGCCTCCGATGAGACTCTTTCCGATTCCCGTTCGATGTAATTTTTATACCACTGTGACCACCGTCCTTTTCTCTACAGGCTAATCGGAGCAAAACACTAAATCACGACTCGTGCTAGAGGAGCCGCCGCACCCAAGAGCTCCGCCGCCGGTAAGTCTCGGTTTTATGTAATTTTTTGGCCCACCGAGGGCCCTAGGGGTGTTTTATTATAGGAACCAATGCAAGTTTGGGCGAATTCGGTCAAAAACGGCCGGAAAAGGCCAAATAGGCCCTGGGTCTGATTTTGAATTTTTTCGGGACATGTGCAGGTACTGGAAGTGGGTTTCAGTTCCTGGAAAAAAATTCAAGGAATCTAGGGACTGCCCGTAGGCGCAGTGAGAACCCGATTTCAGACGTCGAAACAAGTAAGGATCTCTCACCCTATTTTTTATTACGGTATTAAAGCTT